GTAAATTGACGAATCTTGTATTTCCTAACGACGAAATTATTTATCATTGTGGAAGTGATAGGGTGTCTGCGAGTGTTTAGTCCGGAGCGAGAGTTGTTTAAGCAACATCGACAGAGGCGCAAAAGAAGAGTTTGGGACAGAATACAGTCCCGATCCGTAATAAGCAACTCGCTCGGGGTCGGTCAGTTGCTTATTACGGATCGGATGTCCTATTCGGCTTGGTTTTCTTCTCGAACAGCACGAGAGAATATGGGGAACGAGAAAAAGCCTCGAGATCTGTGTAACACTCCAGAATCGCTAATACTAGAGTGAAAAAGAATTCTTGTACTAAATTCTATTCTTGTACTAAACAACTTCACTGTTCGTTTGATCGTAAAGATTTACGACTTCTCGCCTTCATGGACCTTTTATTCGTTCTCGGATCTCTCACTCGCTGGGCGACTTCAAATAAAGAAGAGTAGATAGCGAGTTGCTTATTACGGATCAACACTGTACTTTAGAACATCGTTCGAACAAAGCATGCATAATCGCTGAAAGTTTCACGTGGGCCTGACCGAATGTCGATTAAGGGGGTATTCCTCATTAGGGAGGTCAAAAAATCGATTTTTTTTTATCTCATTTTGTTAAAGTTTAGTATCTCAAGAATATATTCCCAAAATCTTATAGCTCAGTTCGGCAAAATGGCTGCGATTTCAAGAATATGACGGAAGGGCCCTCGAAACAGCGTTTTACGAATTGGCTTAAATGATTTCTCAAAACTGTATTATCCGATCTCTTTCAAATTTGGCGTGCAGATAAAGCAGGAGTACCTTTATCGCCCGTACCAAAATAGTATCAATATTTACAATAGTTTTTGTTCTGTGGCTTGAAGAAGTAAAAATTTTTATTGAAGAAATAGTTTTCCGACTTCAAATAGCTGCCATTCTGACAGGACACGTTTTATATGTTTCATTTTGGTGCGGGCTATAGCCACACTCATGCAGATTAAGATTATCTTTGACTTTTTCATTTCAGATGAATACAATCGTTTGAACGATGTAAGCCATCCAAAATGACACATTACGGGAAGCATGTAATGACACGAATAAAAATTACACGGTATCCTTTTGAAATAATACACCAACCTGTATACAAGACAATAAGTTTCTTGGACTACAACAATTCGATAAATTTCTCTCCTAAAAGATCGCCACTTTAGAAGAAGAATACCCCCTTAAGAATATCTGTTTAAGCTGAAAGCAATAGAGAAATGAGAGTGAAGAAGTTGCGATCGAGAGTTAATAGCGAGAGCAAAGAGTATCGTGAGAGAAATCGAGACCACGTACCCACCCTTACAGTACATCTACTATTCCTCAAATCACCGGGGAAAAACTTATTCACCCGAAACTCTCAGCGAAATGAAGAAAAAAAGAAAATCGATTTATTCCGAGGAGAATGATCGGAGGAGACGCACATTTCTCAAGACCTTTCCATTTCTAAGTGGGTCACTGGCGCCTACATTACGCCGCTCAATTCCTTCTCATGCAGAAGAAATATTGCATTCCGTATCTTTTGAAAACGAGGTCGAACGCAGGCTTGGAAGTTGCAGAAGGTAGTCGAGTTCCTTCGATTTCGTCAAGTCATTGTTATCCCGCTGATACGTAACAGAGCATCCTGCCTCGTGAATAATCACCAGGCAGGCTCTCCTTCCAAAAGACGAATCTTCCAATTCTATCTCGTACCAACCGAGGCAGAAGGAAGAAAGGAGTTCAATTATATTTGCGGGGGTGGAAAAAGGATTGAACATGTAATTGCAACGTCAACGCGACGAGAATTATCGACAATCCTTGTGCAAGTGTTTGATGAATCGCCGGGGGTCTGATTGACGGAAAAGATTTGTGTAATCCGGATTAACCGCGACTTGACGCGGCAAGAAAATCTTCCCACCGAGGCAACATGTGTGCGGATAAAGAGAAGACGCGTGATTCATTTTAAAAGTATCGATCTTCCCGTTGATTGTCAGTCAATATTGTTACGTTGATTAACGTCATCCCAGATTTCAAAAAAAAAAAAAAAAGAAGAAAATCCA